AAATCTCAGCTTTTCCATAGAGTGCCGCACGAATGAGAGCTGTCCCTCCATTGTTGTTGCGCATGCCTAACAGCCCCGGCGCTTTGTTTAACAACTTCTCCGCAACATGGGATTATCGTCGCTAACGGCGATTTCATGAAGAACATGTTTCCTAATATATTTTGGCGGGTGATTTTATCAAGAAGATTGTGGGGCAACTCATCTATGAGCTTGAGGACCAGGTCTCTTCTTTTAAAAGTAATAGCCAAATGAAGTACGGAATCATGCTGTATTGTCATAATGTGCAATGCATGATCGGCAAGCCTTCTGCGAGTTCTATCACCCTCCATCGTCTTCTCTGTTCATCAGAGCCTTGTAAGCCTGAGTTTCGTCTATGTTTGGCATTAATGTGTTCTATGGTAGAGCACATTCTTATGATAAAATAATGAAACAAGTCAGATATAAGAAAGAGGTAATTTAGAAGACTTGTATAAAGAGCCTGGTCTGCTGGTGTTATATATAATGAAGGAAAACTTTACCGACACTGCTCCCAATTATCCTTATAAATTGACTTCTCCAAACTTTCTCAAACTATCAACTACATCCCCATTCATATCGCACCATGTCACAATCAAGTATTTAGGATTGGACTTGCGAACAAGGCTGGCATTTACCTTATTCACCATATTCCTCTGTAACATTATTTCCATATTAATGGGATTTGATTTGATTTTAGGATTAGGGTTAGTTTTGGAAGGCTATATATTATTTTTTTAACTGCAGTTGAGCCAATTTACGCGCACCTCGATTAATCTCAAAAGAGGTATTCCACAACACCCTATCATCATGACCCCCCAAGTAAATCATAAACAAAGGTATTACATTTGCCTCCAACGAGAAATCAAATTTGAGACTGTGAATTCTACCCATTTGTAGCCGCTTAGTTTATCCTTACCGCTGGGCTACCATTGGGGTAAGCTAGAATATTGGATTTTGTTTTTATATATTTTGATTTCGTTGTTTGATATAATATATATATGATTTCATCAATTATTAATGGTTATTAATTTAGTCTATGGTCATAAATACATGTATGTTTTTGTCAAGATCATTTCTTTCTCCTAAATTTATGAAGGGTACGTATTTTTCATAGTTAAGTTCACCGTGTCTTTTCCTGATACTTTGTTTTTTCCCATAATCAATTAAATAAAATAAAAGTCGTCTTCTTCATATTGCTTCGCCTGGAAGTGATACCCAAAGACATATATACTTAATTAAATCAAAGTTTTAATAAATTATCTCACTTTTACTTTACCCAAAGACAATATACAATAACTTAATTAAATCAAAGTTTTAATAAATTCTCTCACTTTTACTTTACCGAAAGACGATAGTAAGTCAATTATTTTACACTTTGATTGGTATTGGATTGTTGATTAATTTAAAATGCGAACTTCTGTATTACAAAGGTAACTCGATATGCACGAGCAAACTTTAATCAGAGGTACACATTAAGATTATGATTTTTGAATCTGGATTAAAGAATTTCTTTAAAAGCTTTTAACTTGATAAAGAGTTTGGAAACAACTTTGTAAGATTCCATTCATAGTAGAAGAAGGTTATCCAACCCCACAGCTTTGTAACATACTATTTAATATTTATGCATGTGTTTCACGGAGTTAATACTTTCTAGCATAATCACTGTAGAACATAGACTTTTATGTGGCTACACCCATAACATTGTCTATAGACTGAATTACACTTTCATTCTTAAGGTTTGACGTATATTGTACTTACCTCTAACATTATGGGATACAAACGATTTAGTCCAAAACTATAATCATCGTAAACACTCTTAACACAAGCCCTGGGGTGGGTTTTTCAAGTTTCGGCAAACCTTTGGGGGTTTAAAGTAATTAACATTTCCTTTGTTATACGCAAAAATTATGATCGAGGGTAAAAATGGTATCTAACCTCAATTTTGTGAATTATCAATTCTATTAACATCTTACAAATGATCAGGGCTTTGTGTATATTGATACCTGAGGGGATATTTAGGTTTGGATAAACCTTGGGAGGTTTAAAATAATTATCCCATAATTTTCATAGAGTTTATGTAGACATATAGAAGTGATATAGTGTAGAGTCGTTGTGAGACATTTGAATTATGTGAGACAAATTTCTGAAGAGTAAACAACATTCACCCACCCAAGGTTTGGCGAATCTGCAAGGTCTCACTCATGATTTCATAAATTCTAGATTTTCACCCTTAAATTAATATAGAATTGTTTAATCTAATGATTAAAAGGGTAAAATTGTCATTTTAAAAATAAAAATTTTAAAATAACCCTTCACTTCTTAAATTCACCCCAACGGCGATTTCAAGTCGTTCTGGCTTGTTCCCTACGCAATCGACCGCTCCCGACACCATAATTACAATCCCCTCAACCCCCACATCAAAACCTCTCACCTCCCCGCCTAATTGAACACCCCAATCACCGGTCGCCGCTCTTAGTTTTAGTCGCACATTTTATCCAAATTCTAACAAGTCCCAGCACCAGAAACCACCCTTGACACCATCAATAGCATCACCGACTTCCCCCCACCAAAACCCCCAACATCATTGATCGCAGCCGCCTCTCCCTTAGGTCTTTGCATGTTGTCGCTCCTTTCCAGCTAAATTCCAGCTCCTCGCCGAGGTGCACTCAAGTGGAAAAGTTAAGGGTTTTGGTGAGGAGGATAAGGGGATGTTGATGGTGGTGTCGGGGAGGTCTAATGGTGCTAGAATCAGGCCGGATTTTTGGCTTGGCCGGGATCTCCTGTGGGGGTTATTTGAGAGAAATTTGAGATGTGGGGGTTATTAGAGAAAATAATGGTGTTAATTTAAGGGTGAGAATTGAAATTTTTAAAACTAGGGGTGGAAACTGAGATTCACCAAACCTTGCGTGGGAAAATGTCGTTTACTCGTTTCCAAAACTGCAACCTTCCTGTGAAGAAATTGACAAAACTGTAAATCTTAATTTTTAACATGCTTCAAACAAAAATTAAATCATTCCGCCAAGAATTGTCGATTTGTTTTTCTTTTTAAATTGGTCAAATTGTTTTCGTAAATCGGCATTACTCTAGAAATAAAGATAGTTCTACAATATCAACTTTTGAATTAAAAAATCACCAAAAATCAAAATTTTGGTCTTTTCAGTTGAAACTAAATTGTTTATATGACCCTTAAACTAAAGATGTTTACTTTTGATTTTCGAGAATTTCAACTCTGGATTAATTTAAAGTCAAAATTTTTCTTTTATTTCCATAAAAGGTAAAAACGCCCCATTACACAAAACATTTTAGAAATAACAACCTTTGGGTGACCGAGTGGTTCGATAGGGACTCTTAGGTGTCCAAGTGGGTCGATAAGGACTCATGGGTGTATTACTCAAGAGGTCATAAGTTTGAGTCCCTTCTTGGTTGCTAATAAGGGTGGCTACTGGAGCTTTTACTCAAACAGTAATTCCAGGTTCCTAGGAGATTAGTTGAGGTGCACGTAAGTTGGCTCCGACACCCGTAGTCATAAAAAAAAAACATTTTAGAAGTTTCAATTTTAACAACTATCTTAAATTCATAAATTCCTATAAATATGAACTTTGTTAATATTTGTAAATGGTTCTTAACACCAAGGCAAATATGTGTATGAGCAGCACTACACTTACAACTTTTTCATACAACCCTAATGTAGCAGCTCACAATTGGTTAGCTCGCAGTGGGTCTTGTCTATCCAAATGCAAACTAACCAATCATGAGCTACCACCTCAGGGTTGTATAAAAAAGTTGTAAGCAGGGGCGTAGCTAGAAACTCATTCTAAGGGGGGTCAAGACATTAATTAAACTTAATAATATAATTGTAAATAAACTTATAAAAAAAATATTAAGTTATAAAAAAAAATATGAGTATTTATTTATAATGCTCTTTATAATTAATACATTCATAATTGTGTTTGACGATATGGAATAAATTTATAATACTTTAACAAGTGAAACAAAACCTAGAAAATTTATTAATGAACAAGTTATTAAGCCAAAACAAATAACAACACCTCCAAATTAAACTATAATAAAATTTATGCTAATAAAATATTTAAAGATTTATCTAGTTTTTATAGTAAAGTATTATAACTTTTGTTGTAATTTTACTTTTATGTTTCGACCCCTTAAAATAATGCATCAAAATACATATTTTTTATATTTATCTTTTTTTTCCTAACTTCAATATTTTAATATAACACATCTATGGATAATCTACATAGTTAGAACGAACTAAGAATAGTGTGGATAGACACACGGTCTCAAGTTTGATTTTCCATCTGAGCATCTGTAATTTAAGTGNTGGCTTATAAGTACATTTTATTATAAAATGACTAAAAAGGGTACTACATTAAATAAGGGTATACTATGGAATTTTAAAATTAAACAAGGATAATGTGGTAATATACTTGGTCAAACTAGCTTATAAGCAGAGTGCTTATAAGCTAAAAAAAAAAAAAGTACCTCCCCCCAACTTATTTTTTTGGCTTATAAGCTCAACTTATAAGCTCAAAAAAGTTATAAACAAACAGGTCAGCTTAATTTTAGAGCTTATAAGCTAGTTTGATCAGCTTATTAGCTTAGACAAACACCCCCTTATAAACTGATTTTCATAAGCTCATACAAACACCCCCTAAGTACCTCTACCCTAACATTTTTTTTTTTTTTTTTAATAAGCTACTTTAACCAGCTTAGAACATCTCCAATAGTGCTCTTTATTTTAAAGAGCATATTTCTTATAAATAAAGAGCATCTTTGTTGATTTTTAAATATAAAGAGCAAAAATTTTATTTAAGTCCAATGAACTCTTTATTTTAATTCTTTATTTTGAATTTTCCCATAAAGCATTTATGATTTTAATTTTTTCCCTCTTTTCTTTTTCCTAAATATAAAATAATAAATACCTTGTCTTGCTCATTGATGCCACTTTGGTTTCTTGATTCAATCTAAGCATAGCATCCACAAAATTTGTTTGTAGCTAGTTGAATTGTTGACCAACGGTTCATCAAAGAAACTTGTGTACATTCAGATTCAAAATTTTTGTATTTATGGAAGTACTCCAACAATCGTGCCCAATATGTTTTGTGTTTTTGTTCATTTCCTTGCACAACATCTAAACTGGTATTAAGCCATGCTGACACAATAAGAAGATCCTCTTTTGCAGTAAAGTTGCCGCCACGTGATCTTTTAGAGTTAGATTCAATTGGAGTAGACAAATGAGATTCTTCAGTATTGGTGAAAATAGATATATTATCAGAGTTTGAAAGTTGGGTTGAAAATTGAGGATTTTCAATGGAATCAATATACAAATTTTCATCACTACCAGCTTGAAAATTCATGTTTTAGAGAAAAGAAAACAGAACATGAATATATAGAAACTCAAAAGACCATCATGGTGGGAGGAAAAACAATTTTTCAAAAAAAAAAAAAAAAACTTAATAGGAGAGAGAAACAATAAACAAAATTTATTGAAACTTGTAATTTAATTAATTAAAATTATGATAAAGAGTGAGATTGACTCTCTAGATGTGGAGAGCCAAATCCACTCTTTAATTTATTTTTAAAGAATAGAGAATCCATCGGACTCTTGTTTTTATGCATTAACTCTTTATAATAAAGAGTTTGACTCATATAAAGAACCTTTTGGAGATGCTCTAGTTTAACCAACTTAGAGCATCTCTGAATGACTCTTTATATGACTCAAACTTTTTATTATAAAGAGTCTATCCATAAAAATAAGAGTCCAACATACTCTTTATCTTTAAAATATAAATTAGAGAGTGAGTTTAACTCTCCACATTTAGAGAGTCAAATTTTACTCTCTATCTTAATTTTAATTAATAAACTATAAGTTCCTATGCATTTTATTTATTAATTCTCTCTCACATTAAGTCTCTTTCTTAAAAATAAAGAACATCTTTATTAAATTTAAAGAGTCTATTAGATTTAAATAAAAATTGTGTTATTTATATTTTATTTATATTTAAAATTAATGAAAATACTATTTATTTATATGAAAAATACTCTTCAAAATAAAGAATATCATTGGAGATGTTAAAAGAAACACCCCTATATTATAAATGTTCTAATAATTAGGAAACTTACAGCTGTTGATCAGTTTATCGAAAAAATCACATTCACTCTGACAACTAAAAGCTTCCGGCTTGCAAGATAGAAGTTGAAGAGCAGTCATACCATCCATATCTTTTTGCTCAATTAGGTTCTTATAGTCATTTGCAATTTGCAGGGCCAAATCTATTCTTGCATTTGAAAATTAGATAAATTATATAAGAAGAATATAATAAAACGAAAATTCACTACATGATATGCTTATAATTTTAAAATTTTTAACATTATAATAATTGTAATGTACCTTCGAAAGAGCTTATATGATACAAATTTAAAGGACAATAATTTAGATGGGAAGTAGTTACCAAACTGTCGAGCAATAACAGAAACGTGAAGAATAGTAGATTTATCATTCCTCTCAACAAAGGGCTGCTTATTGTCTGGATCATAACCAGAGAGTTTACCGTCAAGAAATTTGAAAATCTCAGCTTTTCCATAGAGTGCCGCACGAAAGAGAGTTGTCTGTCCATTGTTGTTGCGCATGCCTAACAGCCCCGGCGCTTTGTTTAACAACTTCTCCGCAACGGCGATTTCATAAAGAACAATGTTTCCTAATATATTTTGGCGGGTGATTTTATCAAGAAGATGCGGGGGCAACTCATCTGTGAGCTTGAGGACCGGGTCTCTTCTTTTAAAAGTAATAGCCAAATGAAGTACGAAATCATGATGTATTGTCATAATGTGCAATGCATGATCAGCAAGCCTTCTGCAGAGTTCTATCAACCTCCTATCGTCTTCTCTGTTCATCAGAGCCTTGTAGAGCTCTGAGTTTCGTCCATGTTTGGCATTAATGTTGTTATGCCTAAAAAGTCACGTCTATGTCAATTCATTTAATGTCTTCTTGTACCAGCTGCCAAGCCCATATCTCCAAAGATATTCTCACAACTTTATCTCATTTCAAGAGATGAATGGACGAGAGTCTTCCATGTGTCAAGGCAACTTGCAAAACACTCATTACATTGAGTGCAAAGGTGTATAAGTGGGCACTCCTCTTCCCGAAGAAGGAGGCTGGGCTGAGAATTAAGCTTCATTTTCATTCTCTCTCTATGTAAACACTATATTTCTTCATCTTTGTATGCCTTACGGGCAAAATCATAGAAATAGTTAGTAAGCAATAAAATAACAGTAGATATAGGAGTCGCTTGTTGAGCATCCGAATCACTATAAAAACTCCTTCTTGCCAATCTTTTATTTATTTTTCTGCAAAATATATAATCTCAGCTCCATATTCAAATCTCATGGATCTATCACGTGTGATTCCTAATTCCGCTTAGCGTTTCTCACGTGCGAGTCGTTGACATCCAAAATCAAGCGTTAACAGTTTGGTGGCCCATGCAGGTCCGATTCTCAAACATGCGTCCAAGTTCTTTGATCGTGTGGACAGATCGTAGATCACAAGCGTCTGAGTTCTCCAATCACATGACCAGATCGTAGATCGCACGCATCAGCTCTCTAATCGCATGGCCAGATCGCTAATCGCATGCATTAGAGCTTCGATCGCGTGACCAGATCGCAGATCGCACGTGTCAGAGTTCTCAGATCGCTTGGCTAGATCATAGATCGCACATGTCAGAATTCTCCAATTGCGTGGTCAGATCGCTGATCGCACGCTCAAATCGCACTTTCAAGACCGTTCAAATCACGTGTTCAGATCACCCAGATCACGTGGCCAGATAACTTATCGCACGTTCAGGTCGTGCTCGTTATATGCTCAGGTGGAGCCCAGGTCGTGCTCATTCAGGTCGAGCCCAGGTCGTACTCGTTATGCGTTCAGGTTGAGCCCAGGTCGTGCTCGTTATGTGCTCAGGTCGAGCCCAGGTCGTGCTCATTCAGGTCGAGCCTAGGTCGTGCTCGTTCAGGTCGAACCTAGGTCGTGCTTGTTATGTGCTCAGGTCGAGCCCAAGTCATGCTCGTTATGTGCTTAGGTCGTGCTCGTTATGTGCATATTGAGTTTGTTTAGCTCAGATTGAGCTTATTTTGCTCTCAAGTTGAGCTCGTTTTGTTTTCAAGTCGAGCTCCTAATAGATTTCAGGTCGTTTTCCTAACAGATTTCAGATCGTTTTCCTAACAGATTTCAGGTGAGCTCCTAACAGATTTCAGTTCTAGCTCTTCAGTTCGAGACTGCAGCTATTCAGATCAAAGACCTTAGTTTCTGAAGCGCGATTACGGACTCCAAAAATTGGGGGGCTTCTGTCATGCCTAAAAAGTCACGCCTATGTCAGCTCATTTAATGTCTTCTTGTACCAACTGCCAAGCCCATATCTCCAAAGATATTCTCACCAACTTTATCGCATTTCAAGAGATGAATGGACGAGAGCCTTCCATGTATCAAGGCAACTTGCAAAACACTCATTACATTGAGTGCAAAGGTGTATAAGTGGGCACTCCTCTTCCCGAAGAAGGAGGCTGGGCTGAGATTTGAGCTTCATTTTCATTCTCTCTCTGTAAACACTGTATTTCTTCATCTTTGTATGCCTTACGGGCAAAATCATAGAAATAGTCAGTGAGCAATAAAATAACAGTGGATGTAGGAGTCGCTTGTTGAGCATCCAAACCACTATAAAAACCCCCTCTTGCCAATCTTTTATTTATTTTTCTGCAAAATATATAATCTCAGCTCTATATTCAAATCTCATGGATCTATCATGTATGATTCCTAATTCCGCTTAACGCTTCTCACATGCGAGTCGTTAGCGTCCAAAATCAAGCGTCAACAAATTTGTTCTATGGTAGAGCACAAATAAAGGAAACAAGTAAGATATGAGAAAGAGGTAATTTAGAAGACTTGTATAAAGATCCTGGTCTGTTAGTGTTATATATATATGAAGGGAAAACTTTACCGACACTGCTCCCAATTATCCTTATAATTGACTTCGCCAAACTTTCTGAAACTATCAACTACATCCCCAATTCATATCGCACCATGTCACAATCAAGTATTTGGGATTGGACTTACGAACAAGGCTAGCATTTACCTTATTCACCATATTCCTCTGTAACATTATTTCCATATTAATGGGATTTGATTTGATTTTAAGACTAGGGTTAGTTTTGGAAGGCTATATATATATATTTTTTTTTTAACTGCAGTTGAGCCAATTTACGCGCACCTTGATTAATTCTTAAGAGAGTTATTCCACAACAACCTATCATCATGGCCCCCCAAGTAAATCATAGATAAATGTATTACATTTGCGTCCAACTAGGAATCAAATCTGAGACTGTGGATTCTACCCATTTGTAGCCCGCTTAGTTCGTTCTTACCGCTGGGCTACCATGGGTGGGTAAAGCTAGAATTTTTGGATTTTGGTTTTATATATTTTGATTTCGTTGTTTGATATATATATGATTTCATCAATTATTAATGGTTATTAATTTAGTCTAACGGTTATAAATACATGCATGTTTTTGTCAAGAATTCAATTTCTCCTAAGTTTATGAAGGGTACGTATTTGGCATAGTTAAGTTTCAACCGTGTCTTTTCCTGATACTTTGTTTTTTCCCATAATCAATTAAATAAACAATAATACTATACTTACAAAGAAATCTTACAAAGATTTCCATACAAAGTAAGATGGCAAAAAATGAATGGAAGAGTGAAACAAAAAGTCAAACTCATTAAATTCACTCTTCCATTCATTTTTTGCCACATCATTTTGTATGGAGATCTTTATAAAATTTCTTTGTAAATGTAGTATCACTCTTAAATAAAAATAAAAGTCTTCTTCTTCATATTTGCTTCTCCTGGAAGTGATACCAAAGACAATATATAACTTAATTAAATCAAAGTTTTAATAATTATCTCACTTTTACTTTACCCAAAGACAATAAACATATAACTTAATTAAATCAACGTTTTAATAAATTCTCTCACTTTTACTTTACCCAAAGACAATATGTAAGTTAATTTAATCAACGTTTTACACTTTGATTGGCATTGGATTGTTGATTAATTTAAAATGCGAACTTCTGTATTACAAAGGTAACTCGATATGCACGAGCAAACTTTAATCAGAGGTACACATTAAGATTATAATTTTTGAATCTGGATTAAAGAATTTCTTTAAAAGCTTTTAAATTGATAAAGAGTTTGGAAACAACTTTGTAAGATTCCATTCATAGTAGAAGAAGGTTATCCAACCCCACAGCTTTGTAACATAATATTTAATATTTATGCATGTGTTTCACGGAGTTAATACTTTCTAGCATAATCACGGTAGAACGTAGACTTTTATGTGGCTACACCCATAACATTGTCTATAGAGTGAATTACACTTTCATTCTTGAGGTTTGAAGTATATTGCACTTACGTCTAACATTATGGGATACAAACTGTAAAACCCCATTCCTGATTTTAGTTAGATCATGAATTGTATTTAGTTAATTAAATTTTTTTTTTTTTTAATTTTTCTGAGTTTTTGGTATTGTGGTAAGATAGGGGCATCTCTGTCAGTTTTTAAAGTTGCGTTAAGGGGTAAAAGCGAAGAAATAAATCTTGATGGGTTTGCAAACAAGTGGGAAAAATTTGGACATTTTTGCTAGGAAAAGCTTAGGTGGCAGGGTTAGATTGAAATTTAGGGAATATTTGGGGGCAGAAATAATTTCAGAAAAATGTTTTGTTTAAAAGAGAAGAAAACTGGGCAGTTCGCCCCAAGGAAGAAGAAGAAAACGAGAAATAGAGTGAGAGAGGAGAGATTTTGGGTCTGTGAACGGTGCATCATCAAATCATGATCTGGAGCTCGTTTGCCATCCGATCGTTCTGATTTTTGGATATGTTGTTTATGAAACACAACTCTATATTATGAACGGTGAAGATCGAAATCCAAGCACTGTAATGGGCAGCCAACTATAGGATTAGAAGGGTACGGAAGCGAAGAGTGTTTGACAGTCCATTTGAGTTGCAGCTGAGCTAGAATTGTGAGTGGATCAAATGAAAGTTTTCCTTAAAAATTCTGATTTATGTTTGCTTGTTAAATATAGTTGGCCATTTTTGCTTTTTGATGAGTGTTGAGCTAAATTTGAAGCTTGCTGAACTTGCTTTCCTCTCCATGCTTTTGGATGAATGTTTGGTTGTTTAATTTGAGGTTTAAAATGGAGTGTATTTTGCTTGCTAGCTGCATCTATTTGCATTCGGTTGATTGACCAAAATGTGATGTTGGCTGGGTACTTCAACTGCATGTAATTCAGCTGGGCAATATTTTGAGAGGTGCTTGGATTGTACTTTGTTTTAAAAAGTTGGCTAGGTAAATCCACTTGCATGCTCTCGGCTGGAATGCCTTTGAGATAATTGATTGAATGGTGTCTTAACATGCTGGAAATTAAGGTAATTTGGCTGTTAAAATGTTAAATGGTAGTATAATTTTTTTTAACCTTTTCGTTTATTGGTATATATGTATATATTCATGCTATATGAATAAAATGGAGGAAATTTAACTCCCAGGACATGCCAAGTTTGCATTTAACAAAATGGCCTTGAAACTGTTTTTCATTTTTTTTTAATTTAGAGAAGATGACATGGCATAGTTAGGATTAATTAAACATGTAAAAGGGGTTAAAATGAAAAGATTAAAACGTATAAGAAAAAAATAATAATTAATGAAAGTTTTTAAAATTTGAAATTTGAAAAAGAGCCCTACCCATTCAAATCGCTTAATCGAAACCGACTAAGGCAAAAATCGATTCTTCAAACCGTAAATGCATTCTGCGCAATTTTCGGCGATAACAGTCCACATTCCTACAAATTTTCA